ACTTGCTTATTTTATTCTGTCTTATACGGTAATATTATATTTCTATTTTGCTCTATGATACTTCTGTAAAAAGTTGCAGTGCAAGAAAAGAATTTCCAGCTAGGCATTAATAAAGTAATTCTGATCCTGACTTTTGAATAAAAAAGAAATGCTAAATAAAGTTGTAGAAAGTTTATAAAAGCCAAACCATTTAACTTCATAAAGAGACTTAATATTTTCATGAACACAATCATCCTGAAGAGGCAAAAATATTTTTAGTAATATGCGAAATGTGTCTTAATGTGTTGTTAAAATCAAATTAAAAGGAATCAGTTCACACTTTTTGAATCGTCTATTCATACACCTTAATTTTTATCTCCAACAGACTAAAGAAAATCAACTGCGTGTGTGCTTCGAAGTTACACATATGCTACCATACCATAGGCAGCACAGGTTCATATGTGCTAACTAATCTATGTGTTTGCAGATTATTTGCAATTTCATGCAGTTTTCAGTACTTTACACACTTTTTATTTTTTTTACTGCAACTTTTAATTAATTCAAGTTAAACTCTTTCAATGAGATGAAAAAGCTTATTTTCTTAGACTAACAGTCAAACTTAGTAGGTTGGAAAATCTTTGAATTCTCATACATGCACACCTAATTCTTTGCAGATTCCACACAAAAACAAGCTCTGGGCATTCTGACACATGACCCAAAGGCCTGCAAGTAATTAAGTTGAAGAACCCAGCACCTATTCAGAAAAAACATGCTATAATGATGAAAGATCTCCAGCTTCTATAACAGATAAAAAGCACTTATGAACGGAATAATACTTCAATTTACATGCACTGCACAGGAGGGGACTGTCATTTACAAAATCCTCCAAAAAAAGGTGATGGAAAAGATAGAAAAATGTTTTCTATTTGGGAACATTTAACATTTGTACTAAAATTAGTGTAAAGAAGATGTATTTGGTCATAAAATGTAAGCTATTTTCTTGACAGTCTCTATCTGTGCAGTGGCGTAACAAATAAAGATAGGAAGTTTTCCAAAGGAAGGTAAGCATAAAGTTTGCATGAATGGGAAGTTTTAAAAAGCAAAAAAAAAAGAAAAAGAAAAAAGGGCCATATCATCGACAGCCGAATGTCTATTTTCTAAGCTAACAGGAAACCCACTGCCCAAAAATACAGGCATTAGAGCACTGATTAGAGTGGGTGTTCCTGCAACATAGTACCTTCCACCAGCTGAAACATTAACCTTTGGACTGGAGACCTTCTCAGCAGCTCGCTTTTTCAGACGTCTGTAACAGTGAGACAGTCAAATTCCATCACATGCGGGAGAGAAACTACATGCAAACACGTATTTTAACTGGCTCCATGAGTACTTCCTGCAAAAAACTGTTTATTTTTTATGTTTAGTGGTGAAGGACATTTTTGAGATTCCACAGGTCTGAAGCAGATCACGTTACGGCGCTCAGGTCATCAGTGCTTCATACCGAGTGGTTCCTCTCTTCCATTTGGTTCTATGGTGACCGTTTTCATTAAGAGAATCTGACCTTCTCTAGAGAACCAGATTCCTCCAGCTCACAGCCTCACACATGCCTGAGAGAAAACACACATTTCCCCTTGTGCTACTGTGAACCATCTGCAGAGGGAGAATGAGGAGGCCTGAACCGGAATGTGTGCAGTCATTCAACAAGGACCAGATGGAAACAGAATATCAAGGATAAAAAGACCAGAACCTCAAATATTCAGTTCTTTACTGACAATAATCACTTTATAATTTATTTGATAGCTGAATTGAGTGGGGAAACTTGTATTTTTCAGTTACTATTACAGTTACTGAACTGTACGGAAAGTTTGACAAGAAATTCATCATTTTTTTTACAGCTCAATTTGTTGAAAGAAATATCACTATTGCCAAAAGATCATGTTTTATGTACCAATTAACCTTAGCATCTCAAATGAAAACATCTGTAGTCCATAACTATCAAGCATTTTCCTCCATGTCGAGAGTGGTTGAGGTCTGCAGTGTATAGCAATCTCTTCTTCAATACTGTAGGTGAGTTAAACCTTCACAGACTGGTTGCGTGCACATCTATGTGTCACATAAGAGTCACATGCACAAATTTTGCAGGTCGCTTGGGAGGAGCAGTGTGGGGTTAAGGGTCTTTTAAGGGTCTTGCTCAGAGAGTGGGGAGGGAGTGGGGCTCTAACTAAGAACCTCAGGATTCCAAGTTCTATGCCCTTATCACTAGGCCACCATTCTAGCTAGAATTTATTCAACTTGTCCATATTTTTATGACCTCCTCTTCACAGATAGTTACTTTATTCTTAAATGTGGGAGAAAAATAAGAATGAGACAATGTACCCTATCCTGATTGAGTTAAACATTAATAAACAAATACATGTTTATTATACCCAATAGGGGTATATCAAATGTGTCACGCATACAGCACTTGAAAATGGGACAGGACTTGATGTTTCAACAAATATGAGTCTTTTTCAGACATAATATTTCTCAAACAAGAAACAGTGTGACAGCAGCTAAAGGATGAGTCTACAGCTGCTTTTCCAATGCAAACCAAAGAGGCCAAGAGGATGAATTATGTGACCTCACAACAAAAAAGTTTTATATATAGTAAGAAAGAAAACTTAAACATTCACAAATAGAAAATATAAGAGACTGAAAACAACAGTGAGACACTTGTGCAAACACTAACTTTCCCCGGGAGAGCAGCTGTCACTTAACACGACTGGGACTTCAGACATTCCCCTTCATAGCCACAGTAAACAATAGCCTCCACAGTCTCCACTCTCTAGCAAAAAAAAAAAAAAGATGAGAAGGTCCTGCTTGTGATTTGGTAGATGAAAACTACCGGAATGACAATGAAAAGTAAAGGAAATGTTCCATCCTGAGAAAATGAAAGCATCCCAAAGACTTCCAAGCAGGACAATAGCTGTTGTCAAGATTGTTATAAGATCATAACCACTGCGAGGTTCTTCCTTTGTCTATTTCATCTGAATAAGCTGATATGAATAGATAACAATGTGCTAAATACCTGTTTTTAAGTAATTGTCAAAATCCCCTATGATTTCAACAGTAAACGATAATTTTAGTACATTTTCCCTTGTTTACAGGCTGAATGGAAAGAAACCTTTAAATACAAGCAAAGTGTCCGTATCAGGGCCTAACTAAATTAAGCTTCTCAAGTTATTAAGATCAAACCTCAGTCCTCAGAAACATTCACAAAAATCCAACTGTGTAATTATATTAAATAAAATATTGAGCCAAGTGGAAAAACTGGGTTTGAAAAAGACTTTGTCCACCCTTTCATGGTTTGAATTGAATCTATGCTGATGAAGGTTCTTTTGAATCATTATTCAAAATAGCCATGAAATATTTACAGTTGGACCAATTCGAAAGATAATCGTAAAGCGTGAAAACTTCCATAAAAATGCCAGTTCATTATCCCTGGAGATGAAATGGTTACGGCTCATCAAGCTTCAATGTGTTTTAAAGACATCTGCAAACTATTTCGGGACAGAACAGTTGTCCCTGCTCTATAGGGTCAACAGGAGAAAGTGTCCACTTTCTAAAAGAGAACGAAAAAGGCAGCAAATCCAAAGATCGCAAATTTCATCTTAATAAAGCCACAAGACTTCTGGAACAATGTCATTCTGAAAGATGAGACGGAGTTTCAAATGTTTTACTAGACATTGTTACGGTACTTCTTTGACTAGAAAGCATGGCACTGGAGGGTTCATGATATGGGCCTGTTTTGTAGCCACACAACCGTCAGTGAGTCGACAAGAACAGCTTTAGTTTATGGAGATACTCCAGAAAGAAATGTTAATGTCTGTCCAACTGACAGAGTTTGGCTAAACCTTTTATGGTGTAGCACTGCCCTGTTCCCATGCACAGAAGAAACAATTTAAAGAGGGGAAACGACCCAGTAAAAGTTATTTTCTTATCGAGACAGTAATCTTCTAAGGAGATTTTAAAAGAAAAGCTCAATGAAGGGAAGCAAAGCTTTCTGAAGTAGGCCAATCTTTTTTCACAGATGAAATCAAGGCCAGATCCTTTTAATTTTCTCCTGATCCTTAAAAACCAATGGAGAGAAAGGTCATACTTTCTTTCTCCACCCATTACTAAATCTAGCTTTTATCCTCTCTGATACTTTTTTAAAAACTTATCACAGTGTAGAGTTTTAAAGGTCTGGTTGAGCCAGTTTCTTACTTGTAGAAGTTCTTGTTGACCTTCTTTTCGTGCGGGAATCCCAGCATGCCACAGACCACTCGGGTGTTTTTGATCGTCCATCCCAAGTCACAGATCTGCGCCCAGCCATCTTTGTGTTTCACCTCCACAACACCCTCTGTGATTGGCAGTTTCTTGGCCGTCGCAACAACAGGACGGAGTCGCACCTCCTCCACTTTCTTCTCATCAACTTGGGCCTGGAAAGAAGTGAAAGCCATTAATAGATTAGTTCATTCAAGAAACCATAAACAAAACATAAAGATATTAAGTAAATCTAAACAGTTGGGGCTGTTTTTCAGTGTTTGTTTCTGTTTCTCTTCTACTCATAGCTATCAGCTCAGCTTTTACTGTGACTAACTGTATGTGCTGTCTTTGATCACTTTTGGCATGAAAAGTGGCTCAGAACTTGTCTGTTTCTATCCTAGACAGAGCCAGTTTTGGATTTACAATAGTTACTTTTCAGACATAGAAAGTCTTCATGATCTATGTTCCTTTTCTCTGTCTGCACAGGGAAAACCAAAGAACAAAAAAGCAGCAAGAGCAACAGCAACAACACTGGTAGCAGAGAAGTTAGTGAGCTTCTCAGAATTATGCAGCAGCTGTACAGAAGCTTATGGAGCCGTATGTCCAAGTAACTGACTGTGTGTGTGTGTGTGTGTGGCCATGTCTTTAATACCTGGTGGGGACAATTTCCTAGGAATATGTTACATTTTGGGGACTCATAGGTACTTGTGGGGACCAACAACTGGTCCCCATAAGGAAAGTTTGTCTTCTTGGGGTGGGGGTTAGGTTTAGGACTAAGGTGTGAATTGAGTTTAGGTTAGGTTTAGAGATAGGTATGTGTCGGTAATGGTTAGGGTTAGCGCGAGGGTCACGGTTAGGCCATATAAATTAGTGGGAAATGAATGGAAGTCAATGGAAGGTTCTCACAAGGATATTGTGACACAACAGGTGTGTGTGTGTGTGTGTGTGTATGAAAGAATGAGAACCCACTACCCTGGTTTCCAGATTGTACTCAGTAATGGTGCAGAAGGGCCACCAGCAGAAGCCCCCCTGCTCAGTGCTCCAAAGTGGGCAGAGAGCACCCCTAGACCCGGTCCCGCAGCGGCTACCCAAGCCCAAATCCCAGGGAGAACACCATAGAGACATCTGGGCACCAACCCAGATAGCAACCAGGGAAGTCCCGCATAGGAGCCCCCCATCCCTGTGGAGGGGATGGAGGCCCCCAGGAATCACGAGCTACAGCACACCTGCCGCCACCAGGCCCCGTCCCCCTGACACTGGCTGAGAGCCCGGCCACCATCGAACCCCCAAAGCAGGAACCCACCCACCCAGCGCCCAGAGGGGCCAGGTGCCCCAGACAGCCAGAAGCAGTGGACCAGCAGGGCCCCCAACACTTCCGACCCCCAGGGGCCATTGTGTGCATATTGATCAGCATAAGATGGAGAAAGTCAGGGCGGAGCCCGCCCCAAAGCCAGGAACAGCACGGGCGGACCAGAAGACAGTAGGCCCAGAGCCAGACCCCACCAAAGCCACAGTTACTCCAATCAGACCCATACACCTCCCCCCATCCCAAACACACATAATCAAATATCTACCAACACCACATGCTCATCCAGGAAGAACCAACCAAGCAGTCAATGACTTTATGCAATCAGCTGGTTTTCCTTAAATATAAATCTTTTAACCAATCTGTCTGGATGATCTGATGACATTGTTTCTGTATAGAACTTTAAGATGACACAGGACTGTATTAATAAACTTAATTTAATTGAATTTGTGCTGTAAATAAGTTGAAGTCAAAGTAATTGTCAATTCTTTCATCACAGCGATCTCATCATCACAACTTATTGTTCCTTATCTTCATATCTAAATATCTATACTCCAGATTCTCTCCAACAAGGCCAATAAAGAATGTTACAGTTAGTAATAGCTGTATGAAAAAGTAATATCAGTTCTAATCACTAACAGCTCGGCCATTGCTCTTGTGAAAGCCAGCTGTGCGATGACTCACTTCCACTGTGGTTTTATTCCCCCCCAAAAAATGTTTTTGGCTGAGACACAATGAGGGACAAAGATAGGGACAAGTTTCATAGTGAATACTAAAGAGAAAACTTGAAAGCATTGAGTGTGTCTGCACAGCCCTGTATGGATAAGCGATCAGACTAAACTGTACATAGCTAGACCAGATGTGAACATAAATCTAAGACATAAAAGTCTGCATCCCGTCAAACTGAGATTCTGTTGCCTTACAGTAACTTCAGATGAAAACTCATAGGTTTACAGGCTCAACTTCTTTAAACATTATGTTTTAAAATGGCAGAACTCATTGATCCTACAGTATGTTTCCAGTGTTAGAAGCAGGAAAAGCCCCTCACTCTTTTTATTCATGAAAAGAGATTTATCTCCACCATCTACTCTAACAGCAGCTTGACCGGATCTACTGCAAACACAACTATGCCCATAATTATTCATTAGAAAATAAAGTAGTAAAACAAGTAGACCAAATATGTTTAAAAGTACAGAGAATATCTCTTTCATCTTATATTTACACATCTTCCACCCGTGAACATGACCTAATGAAGGCACAAATAAAAAAATGTTTCCACACGCTGAATTCCAAATGCAAATCACTGTGAACCTTCTTTGAATATCTGCTCAACAAGTATAAACATGTTTATTTCTGTTTTAAAATGCACAAACCTTCTGAAGAACAGACCCACTATAGAGAGGAGGTCATGTTCAAAGCTAATAAAGTGCAAATTGTCCTTAAATAATCAAATGAATCTGGAAACTGAGGCTGCTCTGTTTTAATTTTTCGGAACTTACATCAATAATATTTGAGTCCACAAAGCCAGGAATCCTCTCATCTTTGCAAACAACTCCGGCATCTTCATCATGAGTGCAGTCACTGTTTCCCCATCCTCGAGACTTGCAGAATTCGATGCTCTTCTCACCTCCATTGCATATCACATTGTCCAACCAGATCTTTCCTGTAGAGGCAAAAAGTAAAGCAAATTGAGGCTCCAGTGAATTCTGAGGCTGAAGGAGAGAAAGCCATTCACATCTGGATGATATCATTATTTTATCAAGAAAAACATTGAAACTGAAATAATTAGATATAACAATAATTCTGACGTTACAGTGAATTTCTTACGTTTCTTTTTTACACTAATGTTAAAGCCAAATGTGAAACATTTTCAGAAAATTCATTTTGCTTGGAGGGAAACAGGTTTTTCCATCAATAGTTGCATACATCATCCTCCTTGCATTTTAATAAAGGTTAGCCCAAACTTTTTTAGGGCCCTAATGGATATTAATGCCCAACAGGGGTGGATAATCTAGGTCTAGAAAGTTAGAATTGTGTTGTTTGGTTCCAAACATTTGCATTTCTAGGTCTACAACACATATTTGGGGCTAATCACTTCATTAAGTGAACAGGATGTAGGAAAACTAGGCACAGTTTTTACTTTGTGGACCTGCATTATCCACCTCTGCATGTCACAAGACTGCTACCATGCTTTCCTCCACAGAGGGTGTTTTCAGTTGTAGTGATCTGCCAGAAATGGTGTTTAGCATATCATATGAGTTTAGGCTTCATTACAAGTGTGTTCCATTTGTGGAATGTGGAATTTCTGTATTCATTTTTTAAATTTAAATACAGAAAAGACAATCTTTATCAACCCAAAATGTGGCTGACTAAAGCATCTCTGACCTTGGCCATTGCCATATTTGGAACTGTGAGTCCATCCAGTGGCTGAGACGAACCCCAGCTGACGACAGAGCACGTTGGCGTTGGATATTGAGAAGTCGTCATCGCAGATGGTTCCCCACTCTCCTTTATAAAACAGCTCTATCCGCCCCTCGTTGTGTTTACGGGGGTATCCAGCCAGTCTGACCTTTAGCTGTGCAGTCTGAGCCTTAGGGGTCCCAGATGGAGTAGGTGCCAAGTTGGCTCTGGTAGGCGGTGTGGTCTGGGTTAGACAACAAGGAAACCACAACCCCAGCAGAAGAATGACCGCCAGCTGCTGCTTGTGCCTCGACTTCTCCATTATTTCAACTGCAGGGGAAGATAAGAAAAAGAGAAGGGTGAGGATAGATGTTTAAATCTCAGAAAACTCTCTCTGTGGTGGCTGATGCTTGTAAACAGTACTCTACACTGAGTTTGCACTCAGGTCTGATTTTTCAAAACTGTATCCATCCACACCTGCAGAGTTCAGAACCGAGACCTGACCCATTATGTTACCCTCAATTATCCCTATTTAAAATTTGTCTGGGACTGAACTCGTAAATAATAAAGTGAAACCCGACCCGTGATGCTAAAAGGGTCTATTGACATCTTTTTTTAGGGATCAATAGTGAGGGAAGGGGGTCAGATAGAGGAGAGGAGACCACTTTCCATCAAATAAAGTGTGAAAGATGAGACTCCCATTCTTACCATTCTTATCTTAACCTTTGCACTCCTCTCCAAATGCCATCAGTTCAAAGTGGATTCCAAAAAGTTATACCACTGTTGCTTAAATTGTGTTATACAATTATTTAAAGAAACAACAACAAAAAATAAAAAGTGAATGGAATAGAGCAGGAACCTGCCCAGCACATGTGTGGGCGTTATTGTGAGTGAGTCAAGCTACTTAGGCATTTTAATACGTACCATCTGGTCATTGTTGGGGTGATTTAAAAGGATAAGGCAAGGCAAAGACATTTCAAAGAGATTTAAATGAACAGAACATACGAAAGGAAAGACAATGCAGTAATAAAGAGAAATGAGTGACTGCAAAATTATCCTAATGGATCTGAATTTGGTTTAAATTGAGTAAAGAGGCAAACATAAAGACAATTCAGCCTAAAGAAGACATATCAAACAATTCTGTGGTAAGTCCATTTGTAGCCTGCTAAAACCTCTTTACCTTGAACACATGCCGCCATGTTACAAAACCACATATCACTAAAGTGCTGTATGAAACATGAAATGGAAAGAAAAAGTTAACAGGCTTCTTGTCATTTAAATCTGCCCTCTTCTCAGTGTTTAACGTCAAAATTTCTATCAGCATTATTGTAACCAACCCTTCTAATGATCACTGGACACCTTTTTGCATGTTTCCTCTGTTAATTTTGATGATGTATCTTTTGTAATGAGCTCCAAGTCTATGTGGTTATAAGGTTTCCCCCCCACCACCACTCTAATATAGTTAGTCATTGTTCCTTTTAATTCCAGTCAGTAACAAAATACAAACACGAAAAAAAATAACATTTTGTCAGGGTATACAGTCAGGTCCATATGCATTTTGACATGACGCTATGTTATAGTTATGAACATGAAGTTTATCTTTAATTTGGGGGTATCTATATCAAAGTTGGATGAATGTGTCGGAGCTTCAGCTCCTTAACATGTGCCACCCTGTTTTTAAGGGGACCAAAAGTAACAGGACAATCCAATTAAAGTCTATTTCATGGGAGGATGTGAGCAATTCCTTTATTGTGCAATAAAGGAATTAAGCCGATAAAAGGCCTGAAGTTAGTGAGATTTAGGAGAATTTCCTGTGAAGGAAACATGTTGTCAAATGATCTCTCTTTACAGGAGAACCAAGGAATTCTTTATAGAGGACCAATCCTGCCATATTTAAAAATACATACAGAAATAAATGAAGGATTGAATAATATAAAAATTGCTTGAAAAAGTAGGTTATTATATGAATTTGTGTGTCATTAAATTAGACAAAATAATAAAAATATTAAATTTGTCCATTAATCAATTATTCATCTAAAAATGCAGATTTTAACTTCCATTTTTATTTTTTATTTTCTTCCTGCATTTATGCTTACTTATTTTGAACCCACTTATTTTCTATTATACATTTCTTGAAGTCTTTATTTTGTGTTTGTGCATTTATTGCAAGTATATAAAATATATATAAAAAAATGTCAAAAAAATATTTTGAAAAACTAACATTAGAAAAAAATAGCATATGAATAATAAAATTGAAAAAGCATCATCTGTAAAACACGTCCGAAGCAGTGAGATGACTCGAACACGTAGGGCTGCCAGTGACACTGGTTCAGTAGTGTTTACTCATCATGTTATAGAGAAGCAGCAGAATAATTCTGAGGTATTCAGACATAACGCATTTTCAGAAGTAGCCAAACCCAGATGGAAAAAAATGTGTTACCTTATTTAAACCCCAATGATCATGCTTTTCACTTGTTAAAGACTAAACTTTAAATAGAAAGGTATAAAGGAAAACAGCAACTGAAAACTAGTAAAAACCTGGCAGAGCACTAGAAAGTAGAAAACATGGATGTCCATGAGTTCCAGACTTAAGTCAGCCATTGCCACAAAGGCGTTTTCAACCAAGTATTAGAAATGAACACTTTATTAACAATGATTTAATTTGTCCAATTTAAGCTCCTGGAATGAAGGGATTGTGTTTAAAAGAAGCATTAGTTATGCTATTTGTTTCTGCAATCTGCTCTAAACATCAACTGCATTTGAACAAAACAATAGGCAAATGTCTTTGGCCAAACACTTGTGGACATTACTGTACAAGCACAATTACTGTAGATTGGAATTGACTGTGTGTCTTTAACAGGTGTGCAAATTTTTTGCCTGTTCATTTATGCAAAACTGTCAAAATGTATGCACAGTGTTAATGGAGATCATTTTTTAAGTCTTGGTTCCCTGTTGCACTCAGCTTTAGTGTAATTTATGTGCAGAATTAGGTAGAGATCGATGATTTTAAAAAGAAAAAAAATCATTAAAATTGCACGTTTCTGTCACATGAATAGGATTTGATCTATAAAATCCAGTGTAGATCTCCCCTGGTGATTAGATTTTTTGTCCAGTCTCAGGTTTATTTGCATCAGCTCTGGACAGTTTACAGTATATACAGAATCCCAACCAAAACAAAGAACGCTCAGGAGTTTTGTTGTTGAAGTTAATTTTTTGAAACTTGAATAGAAAATATCAAACATTTCTTTTTTCTTTTTTTTTACTGTTGGTGAAAAGTATTTACATATTATCAAATAAATGTTCTTCATCCATTTTTACATTGGTAGCAGGTCGGTAACTGGGCACCATATAGGACTCCTATTGATAACTGAAGTAGGACTCCTAAGCTTTTAGTGAGTGGTAAAAAGTTTATGGCACAAATACAGTAGTGTGATGTGTTTGAACAGGAACCGCAAATCGGACTTAGCCTTTCCAAAACACAGTATGGGATTGAATACATAGCCTGAGTCTGATTTCACTGCGTTTGGAAAAAGACATATGTTCAACAAGCTTTGGTGTGGAACAGCTTCCAGAGGTAGAGCTACTGTGACTTAGAGCTGCATATCTGAAAATAAACAAAAAACCCATCAAAGAAAAATGCTTCTGTTTTTTTAAGTAGAGCCGTAGATCTCAGAGACATAAGAGGAAATTGATGTAGTTTAAATGTGCTGCAATTTTTTTCATTACTGTTTCAGTTTGTAGGCTACAGTTTGAGTCTAATTGCTGTGTTTATGCACATAAAGATAAGTTTTCTTCTATTCAGAAAACTGTTACTGTTATCAGATCAGATCTGCAAAGTTTTAATCCTTAAAATTAAAGTAATGTTTAATGCTAACATCTATTTCTAGGCTCAAAATTTGGCTCAATCTTGGGAGATGTTTCTCACCAAAAAACATTTTTTTTCAAACTATAAGTAGTTTTCTGAAACAAACCACCTGTTTCCCATAACCTGAGTATGTTTGCTTAGAGACAAATAAAGTTGTGAAAGAATTCAAAACAACTCAAAGAAACAAACATGGCTGAATCATCCAGGACTTTCCATATGAATCTAATTTTCATGTCTAGTGCCTAGACTTGAAAACTGAAGCACAAAACATTTTCTATCCAAAGTGCTAAACTTTAGCTGCTTTGGAAATGCACAGCTTTTAGTCGCAGTGGAAAACCTGCAGCTATAACTGCAGTGAAAGGACATTCTAAACAGCATTGACTCAGCAGGACAGATATGCGTTGATCTATTGCAGAGATTCCAGAACTTTTCAGCTTTGGACCCACAAAATGTTACCAGAGTCGACTCATGACCCAAACTATTAGTTCAGCACTTTGAGATAACTATTGTTTAGTTCAATTTCTGCAGAAGCTCCCAGGACCTCATACTGGTTGATCAAGGACCCCGACTGAAAAATTGGCCCCGACTGGGGCCACCAACCCAAATTTGGGGAATCATTTTTCTATTACTGCTATTCCCAAATCTTTAAGCCTGTGACCCCATAAAAGTAAATTCAAACTATATTTATATACAATTATAGAATAAAGCAATTAAATTCTTTTTACATGCATTCATATTTTAACATGACATTTAATTCATAATTTTAAATATATTTTTTAATAATTAAATAGGAAATTGAAATATTTCTATAATTAACGAAAGTATTTCTTTAAATTTGCAAATGTTTTAATCTAAACGTATATTTTTACTGTAATATTGGAATCAACATTTATTAAATTTATCATCTAAAGAGAAATATTACATGTATTTTCATTGGACATTCATATATATAGATGCATCTGATACCTTTTGGCTCTCCATATACCTCAGGGATCACATCACAAGCCTCCCAGATGCCAGATCCCAGCACAATTCATAAAAATCAGCAGGTGGCAAAATGTGACAACGTTAATCATTTATACATGAACAAAGAGCAATACGACTTCTGAAAAAGGGTGAGTTGAAGAAATGCCGTCTTTATGTGTGAAAAGTGTTTGAAAAAATAACATCTTCTGAAACATCAGGTCATGCTGATATAGAGAATGGGTGGTGGGGGGGTATTTTCTTCACTTTCTAAGACATTAACATTCAGAACTGCATATCCAAAATAACGCTGATCTTTTAATGTGAGAGATTAGCATTCAGCATAAAGACACACATAATGAACAATGAGTCAATTAAGCACCATAAGACCCTATTTAAAATGAAGGGTCACTGCAAATTATTTGAACTTTTATCAGTTTTTAAAAACATCTAAATTTATCTATCTTTGTCCATGAAGTAAAAAAAAATGAAAGTCGAATCAAACTAGTGCTGTAAATGTTAATTTTATTATAACCAGAAATGATTTTCTCCTGTTATTCTTCTAATAGAACTGGATCCTCTTACCTTATGCTTGCAGTATTAAGGAGGTTATAATGGTTCCAGTGGAGAGAGGGGTGCTGGCTGCTTGATGTGCTGATCCACTGCTTTATGGACTGAGCCCCCACCGATAGAAGATTGATTAATAACTCAGTGCCTGGTTAGACTCTTGTTCTCCATAAAGTATTGGTACAATTAGCAGAGCAGCAGGTCACCCCTTTTACTCCTTATGGCAACTCCTGTCTTTAAATTGCCAGCTGTGCAGCTTTCACCGAGGAGTTGGAGGAGGAGGTAAGTGAGTGGGAGGAGGAGGCTGAGTCTTGAAGGGGCTGGATTTATTCCCTGGAAAGACACTGACTCTTTTCACGTCTGGTTCTGTAACAGGGCTCTCTCTTCCTTACGAAACGCTAAAAAGCTGGAATCTGCTCCTTTCTCAGACAGACGTGTATCTGATGAAGTACACGTGTGCTGAGAAAAAAGTTTCCAGCCAAACTCCATGCCCCCCCCCCCCCCCCCCCCCCCCCCCCCCCCCCCCCTTTCCTTCCTCAGTTACATATCTGTGCTTCATTCCAACAGTTGCCACATGTGTGGAAACTCTCTTCATTGATGCTAATCAAACCTCAATATTTCATCTGTCATTCAAGTTGGAACTAATATGACTATCAGGTACTGTCTCATGATTAAAACTTAAAATCCAGCTCATGTTATTTATTATAATTGTGTCTAAGTATCTTTAAGTCTTGGGATAAGGACATTTCAGTAATGAGTTTTCTGCATATTTGTTTCATATAGATCATGTTACTTTAGGTGGGTAATCAGAAATTGTACTCCTAAGTAGCAATAGTCTCAGAAAAAACAATGAGTATGTTCAAGTGCAACTACTTCTAAAATCACATTTTCTTTTAAAAATTACTGGTAAATGCAGGTGGTTACTACCAACCTCTGCTTTCTGGAAGGAATTCTAGTGACCACAATCTGGTACTTCTGAATAAATAATTAAATTGATGAATATTTTAACATATATTTTAACAAAAGGCAAAAATCTTATGCTTAGATGCAAAATTTTGATCGATACTGAAGTCTGTTGCTTAGCCTTCATGATATTTGTACCGTACTTTCTAAAGTTCTCATTTTAGAAAAGAGACGAGCCCCACATAGAGTACAGAAAAAAAAATATTTTAATGGAGATTCAACATGAAAATTCTTTAAGATAAAAATACATTCTATGCAGGTAAAACGCAAATGAGAAACATGACAAAGATCTCAAAAAATGATGACCGTAACGCTGAACAGATTTTATTTTTCTTTTAAAAAGCAAGACAGGCACTTTAAATCTCATTCTAGTTTTCAAACTTACAAACATAAGACGGATCTTGGTCCCTGTGATCACAGATGGACGAACAGGAAGATTTTTGTAAATAACAGATCACTAAAACAGAACAAGTGTGAAGAACCCCTCCATTGGAGGAAAGCACTGAGGTTCACCATAGAAAAATGATTAGAGGGAGAGGTGACACAGTCTTTGGACTTTCTGACAACATTTCTCAATGTGTTCTAGTTTCTCCTGACAGACATGGAATGGCCTGAAGGCACTTCAAGAACATAACTGTATCTGTTCATGTAAGCAACTGGATTCATTAACTTCACCCACATTTACAGTCCACAAAGAAGAAGCAGTGACAGACCAAAAAAAAAAAAAAAGTGATATTTAATGACCTTTTGAGTAAAATGAATGGGCCATGCAGCAGAAGCTGCTAGAGCTATGGAGCGAATTTTGTTCCATTATTTCCACACAAAGATTGGAACAAAAAAAATATAATAATTTTAATTTATGTCACTTTTAAAAGATTTTGTACTTACTTTTTCGCTTTGAGTTTACCAGAATGCATAATTTTTCAAATAGCGTTTTACAGATCCTATTATCCTCACTTCCAGATGGTGGAAGTGAGGAGGGAAGACTCATTTCTAGAGGCCCGCATAGACGTTAGCAACAACATTTTATTGGTCAATAAAATGAGTTAAGAGCGAGCATTTGTATCGAGCCTGAAATTAAAAGAATCTGATCTGTAAAATGCAACATAAGTGGAAAAATGTAACAATATCTCAAAAATTGTTTTAATGAATTCTGAAGAAACTTATAACTTAAAAAAAAACGTAGTTTTGGTTAAAAAGTTTCTAAAGGCATAATTTCCAGATTGCATTTTTGTTCAAATTACAATTTCTAAGATATAGTTGTTTCTTTTTTATTTCAATTCACAAAACATGTAATAAATATGGAACAAAGCTCTCTCCATACTAAAACCTATTTTCCCCTCTTTATTAAAGCCATCCAGTTGATTTAACCACAATGTTACAGGAAGCCGATGTTAATAGTGTTTCAGCTTGAACAGAAACCATGTAGACAGGGGTTTTTAGTAAGGGAATAAATACAGCTGGAAACACTATTTAAAAATAAAGTCTCCCTGTAGTGACAGTTGCTATGATTTAACTTGCTTTCAAACATAAGCCTTGATGTTTCCCCACTTATCTCTGTGAAGCTTAAAATGAATAAAGGGAATCCTTTTTATCATCATTGTACCTTCAAACAGCCTGGAGGTACTTCAGTAAACGTATCAGGCCCAGAACCGGATACCAACAAATGGGCAAAGACCTTCCAAAGGACAAAGCTACCTGATCACAGGTATTTTTTAAATTAAGTACTTCAGGCAACGTTGGATTTCAGAATCACCAAACCTGAACATCTGAATCCAGCCGAAGCCATGGTTTTAAGAAGCGCTCATCTCACCAACAAACATTGACTTAAATAACCTAAATGTACCAGCGGGTTGGGTGGCTAACAATGGATTTTAGAAATGAACAGTCTAAAGTGCTTCTGATTGTTGCAGCAGATTTCTTATTTTTTTCCCTCAGTCCGCAGATTAGGATGGATGCAGAAGCTCCAGGAGGGCTCCAACAGCACCAAAGTAACCCTGGCAAACCAAAACAGCAAGAATGAATACATGAAAGTTCACTCTGACTCTGCATCTGTGTGCTGAAGAATAAATGTATGCTACAGCCTGCAGGTGTTACTTGCCTCATGTCGAAGGAAGAGGGCCTTGAGCTGGCCTTTGGACCAGTAGTCCATGGCGTAGGCCAGCAGCTTCATAGAGAGGGTGTTCACTCTCAGGAAGTTCCCCACAAACACAACTCTCTCTATGTTCTGAACAAACACAAGAAACTAAGAATCTGCATTCACAAAAAAACTGATGTTCTTTAATAAGCAGCAACAGACATGGGGGACAATTGTGGTTCTTTTTATATTTCATTGGCAGTATTCTTACCAGCCCTCACCTCAGCTTCAAACAAAGCTATCCGGTGTGAGGACCTCTACGCCTTCATAGCCCTGTACAATGCTGCTTGATCAAGACGGCACAAGGCAGCACCGTAAAGAGGCTGAAAGCAGAGAGGAATAACACTATTCTCCTGCCTTTTTATACAGAACCACTCTGAACACACGTCCTAAATCAAACCGTTTGACTTCAGCTTCCTAGTTAGTAAAACCAACTCATCTTAGAACAGGTCTGGATCAGAGATTCTCTGAGAAACTGTTCAGTGAGACAGTTCTGCACTCCTTTATTAGAGATGAAGGCTTCAGAATCCTTCTGTGTCCATATGAAAGGGAAACTGATGAAGTGGAATATGCTGGCCGGTAAAGGTGGTTTATCTTCGTTTTACAGGTGGCTGGAGTCTTAACCTACTCCAATTTTGTTTCCATCCATTAACTGTCTGGAAGGAGGTGAAGCTGAGCCAGAAAATGTTCCTATTTTTTCCCCTCAAAGTGTTACAACCCTGTTACAACACAGTGTGATGTTGCTTCTGCTTCCACCATAAAGACAGAAGATCATAGTGCGAACACAAGGGAAAAACATCTGTAACGTTCCCATACTCCATAGTAAACGATAAAAACTGGTTGGTCACACCTCCATCGAAAAACAGGTGCTGGGAAGTTGGTAAAACAAAAATCATCTTGATTCATCTCTATTGATTCTCCTTCATTTCCCAGGAGAAAGAACCAACCCCAGGGTCTGAGATAACGACTCGATTTAACATGCGCATTACTGACCTCGTTTAGAGCGCACATTCTGGTAATGGAGCCGATGTTATTGGTGATGGTGACCAGCGTCGCTCTGGCCAGATCCTCCTTAGACACAGACTCCCTTTTTTCTTTTGACATCATGTTGCCAAAACTAGAAAATAAAAAAAGATGCATCTACTGTCATAGTTCTGTTGTCAGTTTTAGAACTTTAACTCCTGTTAACCTCAATGTATAACTGTTACAATATTTTATGTCTTGTATATTTTAACTATATTAAATGGAAAGGATTTGTGCTATAACTTATGTTCATGTACTCTTCATGCTTATGGAGTTGTTTTTCAAAGAAGTTGTATAAAATATAGGATTCTAAACAAGAATAACTGATAACTTTCCACCAATCTGATGGTTAAATGACCCAAATAATCAAATAAAGAGTCACTGGTTTACTTATTCAATTTAGGAGCAAAAAGAGTTATAGAGTTGAACAATCTATGTTTTTAAATTAAAATTGGATTAATTGCAAACAAATAATTAAAGACAAAGTAATTCACTCAAACAGGTTTCTTTTTCGTCAAATTGATGCTTGTGTAATTTTCTTTTCAACATTGTGCGATTTTAATCATGTAAATGGAGGAAAAAGGAACGCCGCCCTCAAAAACCGCTTCCCCCACTTAAAAAATTAAAATCAGCAACACATATCTGACACTGGTTCAAATGACGTGACTATGATCTGCATTGGATCATCCTGGAAAAAAATGTAAAGTCCTTCATCGGTTGATCTCTAGTACTCACTAAGGGCGACTGTAAGATGTTAAGTCTCCAAACTGTTGTTTTATTCACAGATTAAACCAAATATAACGATGCTTAGAAGTCCTGCTGATGGTAAAATCCACCACAAACAGGCTTGTTGCAAACAGCAGGAACAGCAGCAGCAGCAAACCGCACCTTGAGGCCACAGCCCAGCCTGGCAGTCCAAACCTCTCGTAGTCTCCTCCATAGATGTCCCGGACCAGCTTGTCCACTCGCGTGCTCTCCCCCTGAGAAGCCATCTCTAGGGCTTCCTCGAAGGTGGAGCAGCCGGTGAGAAGGCAGCACAGGCCCAGGAAGGTCCCGCCACCGAGGCTGGAAACACATTTACCTGATATTTATCAAAGGTTTAAATCTAGTGTTTCATTTATTCCATGTAGGGATCTTTAATTGTTAAAATTAGCACTTCAACCTATTAAAATGTAGAACACCACAAGTGCAGAGCCTCACCTGGTGCCGGTGACTCTCTTGTAGTTGTTCTCTGAGTAGACAGCCAGGATGCTGACCCCTGAGCCGATGTTGACCAGCAGCAGAGGATAAGGATTCTCAAGTGCGTAGGGCTTCTCAGCGCACTGGTCCGGGTCGGTGGGGTTTTCAAAGTAGTAGCACTCCAAGGGGCCGCTGGACATCACCGAGTCGATGTACAGCACACCCCGAACCAGACAGTCCAGCTCGTCCAGCTTGTGGAGCTCCAGGTCCGCCATCTTTTTTGGTGTGAAAGAGACACAAAGGGGTCAACATACATTCACTATAGGCAAAACTATCATTATTCAGGGTAATTTAAAATCATACTAGAGATTCAAATTTACAAATACTCTACATATGCAGACTCAAATATGTGCTGGAAGAATTAATCCATTTAATCAATTATTAAAATAATCATTAACTCATTTCATAATCAAACCGTTGTCTAGAATAACAGTACACAGTCTAGAAAACAGGCTGAAAGAATAACCTACTTACAGCAGTAAATGAGACAAAACACTACAAAGAAAATAATATTCTCCATTTAAATTCAAACACCTTTGTTTCTTATATATCTCACTACACATAAATGTACATGTTTATATTTAGTTTCTGCCATTTAAAACCACATAACATGCAGAATAACAGCCATTTCTTCTAAATTCAAAACATTTATTTTGAGATGTTAATTTACTGAAAGCTTTCCTTTTTAGAATAATAAAAAAGCTCTAATACACTTCCACCAATGTCTTTATAAATCTCACTTAGAACCACAGAGACGGATCGTTTCCGCTCTTATTCATGATCTTTTTTAACACTTAATGTTGGACTTTTCTTTCTAATTTAGAAAACTCCACCATGGATTAAGTTCCCTGTTTATTCAATGGGCTTATGAGCAATATCATGCCTCTGGTCACATGGTGTTTTAATGATAAATGCCCAAAAAGCTTGTTTGAAAACGAATGCACCAAAATGAAGCGTAAAACACAGAACTAAAATATATGAAGCAACAGGATATTTTTAAATTGTTGGAAAGCTTTTGTATGCTACTGGTGTAGAAATAAAAAGTAACAGAATGAGATCAGGCTGCATTAAAAATACTTCTTTTCATTTTGGCCTCCTTTCATACCTGTAAAAGTTTTCTCTAAGGGGCAGCTGGCTTATTCAGGTGGGAAGTAGTGGCTCATCCTAGAAGATGGTGATGATTTTGGAGCAGGGGCTTCATTTATGGGCTTGATTAGTGTAACAAATTGTCTTTAATATAATGATTCCGAATACGCTTAAACCTAATTGGGGTCGGAGCAAGCAAACATTAAGCTTCTAGAACGGACTCCTTCCCATTAAAAATTCATGGTCTTTGCCAAGTCCAAAGTCTTCACCTGGAAGGGAGACTGTTTAAATGAGCTCTAAAAAACTCTGATAAAATTAGTGGTCAAAGATGCAGCCATTACAAGTTTATGACCGGCTTATTCTTAACTTGTTAAAGGACATTTAAACAATTCAGATTTAGGTCAGGACCCATCACTTAGACCTTGTGACTCCATCTGCAAGCTTGGTCAGGGGAACAGAGAAGCAGGAAACTCAGGGGAGGGGAAAAAAGAAGAAGGGATCTGAAAACAGGAACTTTATACAACTGAAAATGATTATTTTCATTTTAAAAATGTGTGAAATCTTTTTTTTCTCCAACATTTTATATTTGTCTACTAGACAAAATGATTGCAATACCAAGGAAGCTATTGAGAAAGTAGTATTAAAAAAGAAGCAATCTGCTTGCGCTGCAAAAGAGATGCAACCCACCCACCGTAAGGAAATCAGACTCAAATTTGAACGCCCCCCCTCCTGTAGCACACAGAGTGGTATGCAGACTGGAGAAGTGCTTGTTTCGGCCCATCTGCAGGAAGGCAGGCAGGTCATGAGTGGGGAAGCGAATGAAGTGCAGGTTGCCTGTCCGTCCGCAGAGCGTCAGGTCCTGCAGTTCCAGGTGGACGTCCCTGATACCAGTGGTGCCATAGGCGGTGTTGGAGGTCAGGTAGCGCCGGATGCTCTTCAGGTTCTCCACCTCTTCCTGCTCCTCCTCTGCAGTGATGTCTTTGGGCTCAAAGTAGACAAGTTTCACCAGGGTACCTCCAATGTCCATTCCAAACCAAGGAAATGCTGAAATGTAGGAAAGATATAAAACATTAATTCAGTCATTTTTATTTCAAAAAATAAATGAATAAACCAATGACTGACATACTGTTACAGGGGATGGGTTGTTTTTATGTGATGCAGCTTGAATAGGAAGCAATAAGCAGCTTCTTTGCTACCAGGAGTACAGTGTGTACTGAGATCGCCATCTTGTGCAAAATAGATTCTGGCTATTTACTGCCTCTATGGCTCAATTATATTATAGCAAACCCCAAAACCAGAAGGATACGACGTTTTCCCCTTCAGAACTGTTTAATAACACATATCCACGTCAATAAAACATCCCACAATATAGCAGCAGTAATTACACCTAATTTAATCACACATTTCTGAAGGGAGCGCCTTATATTTTGTGTACATGCAGCAACCCCCCCTCTTTCCTCAGTAAATACCCGTTAGCTTTGTTAACACCTACGCGGCCTCGTCTTCTTCACCGAGTCTTTCCGAAGCCTCGCAGTCGAGTTGGAGCTCCGCCGCTCGGACGCGGCTCTCCCCGCGGAAGCTGCTGCCTCATTCTGGGGTTCGTTGCTGGAGCGACCGGCGGGCATCTCCTTGTTGCACCGCGGAAGCTTCGAGGGCGTTTCGTCTTCTTCGACATCACCGTCTTGTTGACGGCCGTTAAACGCCATTGGATTAGCCAATTAGCTACATATGATTTCTGTTGATAGAGGGTAGGAAATAAAAAGGCGGGGTGTTTATGGGGAAAGTATAAACAGACGCCTGACAGCTAAGATAATTAGCTGGATAACTGGAATCATAAATGGCTGAGCTGCATGTCCGTTTTATGTTGGCTGTCAAGCGAGATGTGGGCGGGGTCAAGAGATTGATTGATGGAACCTACAACCAATAGAATTGCGACTCCGCCAAACAAGCTAATTATACTTTCCTTAGATTTTACCACAATATTCAGGGGTGTCAAAAGTATTCCAGTTTATACTCAAGTAGAAGTATAGATAATAATTTGTTTTTTTTTATTTGGAAGTTCCCAAACAACATCCTGGTACTCATGGGCGGTTCTAGGTGGGGGCCAAGGAGGCCAGTGTCCCTGTAGAACTTGTCCTTGCTCCTATTTTGGCCCCTGTACTGAAAACATAAACTGATGAAAAAATAAATGAAAGTCTATTTTTCTTGAAATAGTTGTATTACATTTATTTAAGCAGGTAGGTCAGACAATTTGGTAATGAAATAAGATGATTTATTATTTATTCAATTGCATAGTATCTGAATCAAGAGGAAATCTAAATTTGTTTTTTAATTTTTTTAAAATTTTGGAATAATACGGTAACAGCTCGGTTTTTTTTTTTCTGTTATCCATCTGGAATGTCAAAAGAAAAAAAAATGTGCTTGTTTCTTTGGTCTTTCTATTTTTTATTTTCATTTGGAAATCAAGATATGGTTCTTTTTCAGTTTTTGTTTCATTTCTCATAACAAAACCAATATCAAATGCCCAGCATGTTCTCTTTCCTTGAATCCATATTAAAGCATTTTGTTTAAAATATTGATGTCGCGTATAGCAATATTGTGAGGATGAATCTGTATGTTGTGCAGCCCTCTGTGCAATGTAAAATTTGTTCAAATTAAATGTTTGGAACTTAAAAACATTAGAATTTAGATAGAGGGCACTTTTTGGAAAACAATGAAAAAATAATGTTTCAAAAGCACATTGGTTTCAGTCTAATTACATGAAAACAAAATCAGGTTTCTTATTTCATTATTATGACTACTGTAAAAAGCCTTTGAATATTTTATATTAAGCATTTCTTATTCCATTTACGATACAAAAAATGCTCAAGATGTATATCTTGAAATATTTTATATTGTGCCTTTATAAAGCATTGTAGTCACGCTTTCTGACTGCAACGAGTATTATGCCTTAATTTTCCAATTTGCTGCATGTTGCAGAATATATGTAAATTTAGGTCAATGTTTATCCAAAGACAAAACTATGAAACAAAAGAAAATGCTTAATAAAAGGTTCCAAAAAGACCCTCCTCCAGTACCACCACAAATCCACTAGAGGTCATCACTAAGCAGCTCAGCTACTGTAGGAAGAATAATTGAATGTCTTATCCTTTTCAGCTACTTTACGATTCCCTGATGGTTTTATTGGTCTATCATACCAAATCCTGTTAAAAATATATTTCAGATCAGATCAAATAAATGACAAATCAGGCAGAGTAAATATATCTCTTCAAAGATCTCTTCTCACTTTTCTAAAATACACTGAAAAACACTTACCTTGCAAGCAAGATGAATTGTTGCGAGATTTGAAAATTCAAAATGTCAAACCTACATCTGGCAGGAGCCAGCAGATGCCTAGCCTGGATACAGAAATGTTTTGGACCACTGAAATGCAGTAATGTCTATGATGTCAATGCCTCTACCAAAAGCAAAACAAACATGACCACGCTGGTTTTAGCTGTTATACCCTTTATTTCTTTTTGAAAAACTGGCAAAAGGACGCCATTTTTGCCTTTGTGGATGGGAAGATGGTTGCACGTTCCCCCTGAATGGATATGGTAGGATCTTGATTTATCAGTTAACTCTGCAAGTTGTGAAAAAGAAATCAATAAATCAAGCTGCTATTGCTGCTTTGATTGGCTAAAAAGCTCGATAAATACCCAATCAGCTCGATGAATTTGACTGAATGTCCCTCCCTTTCGCGAACACCTTCTACAGGAGGCTTTCCAGATCGATACGTGTAGTTCAATTTGAATTCTACATACCATTAATCTTTAGAAAAACACATCCCAAGTACCAGATAAAGACTGAGTTATGATTCATCTCACACAAAATATGTATAGAGAAAAACTGTTTCAATCTTATGAATGTATTTTATTAATGTTTGACTGTTACAGTGCATCGATACAGACAGTGCAATTTCAGACAGAAATTAAAACAAGATCAAAACCTACATAAGGTCCATTAAGACATTACATTTTATGTCCAGCTATGTACAACATCTTAATTAACTCTTTTATAAGTGTGCTTTGTTCCTCAAAAAGCTATTTACATTTGATTCAATTCAGTTTATTTATATAGCGCCAATTCACAACACATCATCTCAAGGCACTTTAAAGTTCACCAGATTTTCTATCTAAGGAAAACCAGTTGATTGCATCGACTCGAATGCAATCCCTCACACTAAGCATGCTTGTAGCAACAGTGGAGAGGAAAAACTCCCTTTTATCAGGAAGAAACCTCCAGCATATTTACATATTTCCCCTTTCACAGTACATCAAGACACAAGAGGGTGATCTATAGCTCCTGTAGTACCAGATATGTGCACTAGGTGGCAGAAGGTACAAGTTACCAAACCAGTGATTGTCACAGTGGCCTAAAAATACTCCAAGTTAGACAGGATCCTCATTTACCCATTTCAAATGAGGCACCTTTTTAAAAAATACAGTAACAACATTTTATAATACATGGAAAAACGTTTGAGATTACAAAAATAAATGGAAATATCAGTATGTTGCAGTTACAATTCATCTATCCTAGGTTTTACTTTCTACTTAATTCACTTGGTTAAAAATATTCAGGCAGCATTCGGTGCAAAATCTGATTGATTACTAGATTCTTTATCACTTAAAGGCTTTTTACAAATCCTTTTTTTCAAACCACATTTGTTTTCCAAAAGTAGGAAAGTACCTTAGCGTATACAATTATAATATATACAAATAAATATTGAGTCCGGCAGGCACATTTGCAACCCAGCTTCCAAAAAACGACAGAAAAAAGAATTTAAATGTGAATTCAAAGAAACCTCTAGTCTTTTAGAAACTAAGCTCTCCACCTCGCTTCCTCTGGCCTTATTCTGTTTATCAAATATTAAAATAAAACAGGCAGTGGCTTGCAAAAAGGATCCACACCTAACTTCCTTAATTCTACTTCTTAAGTTAGAAGAAAACAAAAAT